TCAAATATGTCACCCTTCTGAGGCGACAGCGGAGCGGCCTCCTGGGTCCTGGGCTCCTCCTTGGCCTCACAGGCTTGCAGTCTAAGTTCCACCCTTGTCGTCACCTTGTTCCCCGGCCCCCGCCCCCTACACCCCTCGTGGCCAGAGTGCCCTCTTCCCTGTGTCCCGGACTCCTGCGGTGGAAAGGCTCCCCGCAGGGCAGCGCAGCACCCCGTCTTCCTCCCTCCTGTCCTATCCGTGTGCCCTGGGCCGCCCCGGAAGGGGAGTGTCCCAGGAGTCTGGCAGCAGGCCTGGGAAGCGCCGTCCTGTGTTTGAAGGTCTGGGTAAACGTCCCGGCGTGTGGCTTCCCGCCCCGCAGTGACTGCGTCTGTTCACCCCCACCCCCCCACGACCAGGAGCCGTCCGCTGTGTGCGAGGCACGAGTCGGGTGGATGTGCTCTTCTCTGGCGGCCTCCGCACTGCAAGGGAAACAGATTCCAAGTAGTGGACGCGAGGGGGCAGGAGAGAGCTCAGCAGCCGAGTGAAGGCTTAGCTTGTGTGAGCCCTTGGGTGCGATCCTTAGACCAGCCTGCCTCGGAACAAAGAAACGAATTGGATATTTACGGGCTGTAGACCGTGCTGGAAAGTGTCAGTGGGCTTTGCCAGGTCTGGCAGCCTCCCGGAGGTGTCATTGAAGGTGGGGCTTTGCCGAGCATGTGGGGCAGTGCCTGTGGTGAAGGGAGGGCAGTGGCCGCAGTCCGGTGGAGTTTGATGTCGGTCCATGTGGCTGCAGCCGGGGACTCTGTAAGCCCCAGGAGGAGGACTTGGTTTTTATTCTGAGGTCCTGGAAAGCCACAGTGCTCACAGCAGGTCTCTGAGAGTGATTTGTTAAATAATTACTGTGATTGCTGTGAAGGCTGTAGGGGAAACTGTGGTAACGTTTTTTTCTTTTAGAATCTTATTCAATGCTTAGATTTTTGAAATTGCAGATTACTGATATTTGCTTGAATAAGGAAAATATCAGTACAGTAAAAAAAAATTTTTTTTTTTTGAGACAGGGTCTCATTATGTAGTTCAGACTGCCCTGGAACTCCCTTTGTAGCCCAAGCTGGTCTTGAAGCGATCCTCCTCCCTCAGCCTCCCTAGTGCTGGGATTACAGGTGTGCATCACCACACCCGGCCCTCAGCACACAGTAAATTGCTTAGGATTTGCTAAAGTTTGTTAGGGTTCTCTGGCGTCCTCCTGTGCTGTCCAGTGCTGGGGATGTGGCCCTGTTCCGGGACATCATTAAGAACCTGGCTGTTGGTGGGGGTCTCTTCCACTGGCTGCTTTTGATGTGGAGGCTGGTTTGGGGCTGTTGCTGACCAGAACTGACTGACCACTTCCAACCCTGTCCCATGATGGTTTGGGGTCCACAGGGATAGTTTGCGTTCCTGCTGTTGTCTGGGGTTCTCATCCCAGCACCAGATGCCCTGATGATATAGAGGGAATAAATGCAACCCTCAGCCTGCTACCTGTGAGATATACCAGGCTTGTGTTCCCAAAAATCAAAGAATGAATTTTTTTTTTTTTTGAGACAGGGTCTCACTGTGTAGTTGAGACAGACCTAGAACTCAGTATGTAGCCCAGGCTGGTCTCAAACACAGTGATCCTCCTGCCTCAGCCTCATGAGTACTGGGATTACAGGCGTGCGCCACCATGCCTGGCTAAAAGAATGAAGAATGAATTTTAAGGAACAAGTGAGGTTGAATAGGAAATGTTTATTGAGAGAGAAAGAGAGAGAGAGAGAGAGAGAGAGAGAGAGAGGGAGAGAGAGGGAGTACGCGTTCCTGAGAGACAGGAGGGGACCATAAAGTGAGTTGCCTCAGACCCTACTTCACAGAGGAGGTTTTATAGAGCAAAGTCACAAGGTGGGTACAACATGGATCAAAACAACAACTCTGATCAGTCGATAAGATTACAAGTAGAAGGCCAGGGATGTAGCTCAGTGGTTCCCCCCACCCGCCTTGAAGCGCAAGGACCAGAGTTCGAACCCCAGTACCCCTCCAAAACAAATTACAAGTAGAGCAGCTCAGGTGATTCTGATCCATTGGGGAAGCAGGTCACTAGCAAGTGTACATGGAAAGAACAAAGACCCTTTTAGGAAGGGATGGATCAGGAGGTCCTGGTCACCCACTGGGTGACAGTGTCTGTCAAGATGTTATCGGGCCAGGGCATACAGTTGTCGTGGTGCACTGCCTTTCCCTGGGGAGCTGTGTGGTCCTGGTCATTCTGTCTTTATCCCGAGGCCTCCAGCCACAGCTGTGATGCACTTCCATCCCCTATACTGACTCTGAGGGCCCAGCCCGGTCTGACTGCCGAGAATATTTATTTCTACCCAGCTTAGTTGTCTTTAATACTGGGATGGTGATGATGAGACTATCAGTTGATTTCAGAGATATTTTAGGTGTTAAATTATTTCTCCTTTGGTGGGAGGGGAAAAGAAAGAGGTTGTGAGCCCCTCTGGACAACAGAAACACAAAATCCTACCAGTGTGTGGTTTTTGAGCTGAGGCTTCTGTTTGAATGCAGTTTCCTGGCTCCTGATTAGGACTTAACTGGTTGAATCTTATGTTACATTTCACAGGGCTCAGTGCCTTTGAGAGTTGGACACTTCTAAGGGTATCCTCTGGGTAACTTTGTATTTTCTTAAAGACTTTCTTGGTTACTAAATGCAAAACAGAAAGTTGCAAATTTCAGTTTTCATTAGCAGGTACCTGCTTGTCGGTACCCAGCAGCAGACTGGGTGAGATTTTTATCCTGTGTTTCAATCTCAGCTCCCTTTCTGAAGTGACTGCTCAATGGCTTGCCCATTTACAGTGTAGTTTTTTGTTTTGTTTTGTTTTGTTTTGGTACTGGGGATCGAACTGCAGCCCTTGCACTTGCAAGGCAGGCACCAGAACCATTGAGCTAAATCCCCGGCCCTACAGTGTAGTTTTTTGAGCCTTCTCCCTGTTTACCTTTCCAGTTGCTTTGACATCTGTTTAATTAGATGTTAACAAAGTGAACTGTTATATTTTTTAAAAATTGGGATATAATGCACATTAATGTAAAATTTACCCTCTTAACTTTTTTTTTTTTTTGGTTATGGGGGTCTTTCCACTTGTAAGGCAGGCAGGCAGGCAGGCAGGCAAGCAGGCAGGCGAGCAATGGAACCACTGAACTAAATCCCCGGTCCTTGTTTTGAAACAGAGTCTCACTGTGTAGTTTACGCAGGCCTTGAACTTGCAGCATTCCTCCTGCCTCAACTTCCCAAGTCCTGGGGCTACAGGTGTGTGCCACCATGCCTGGCTGGCTTGCTTACTTGCTTATTTATTTATTGAGACAGAGTTTGCCATGTTACTATATTGCCTAGGCTGGCGTTGAATTTCTGACCCTCCTGTCTCAGCCTCCCAGAGAGCTGGGTTCATAGTCATGCACCACTATGGCTGGCTTGTTTCTTTGTTTTTTGTATTTGTATTTTTAAAGGAAAATAAGTACATTTCTTGCAGTAAATTTAGTGAGAGCCGTGACAGTGTTTTTGCTTTTGCAAGTCTTTAGAAGACAGGTGGATTGTCATTAGCTTCTGTTTTGAATCAGTTGCACGATGACATCTGGAAAACTCCAGTGGGCACCCATTGGAGAACAAGAGGGGAAAAGCAGCAGTCTTGGTGTTTTTAACAAAAGGAGTTTTGGCCTCAGATCTTCTGGGGTGAAGATACCCGGGATCCCCAGGCTGTGGGTGTGGGAGGAGATGAGCAGTAAGCAGTGTGTCTGACCTCTCCCGCCTCCGTTCACTTGTAGCAGAAGTATGTAGAATGCAGAACTCAAGCACCTGGGTCAGTGGATCTTTATGAGGCTGAATGAATAAAGTCCTTCAAACCCAGCCAGAAGATAGTAAGTGTTTAGTAAATAAACAGAAGGAGACTTAATTGTTTTCAGGGGTTAATGGTGCCTCTTAGCTGCCCCAGCAGCTGCTGTGGGGGGCTGTGGAAGTGCACTGGGGGTTGCATGGGGAGCAGAGGTCTGGGAAGGTTGAGAATACCAGAGGAGCAGATGTCCTGCTACGCGAGCAGGACATGGGTGTTGGGCAGAGGGGGCCGTCCGTCCCCAGAGCGTCCCCAGAGCGTTTCCATCCTCCTTACTCTTGGCAGAAAGACAGGAGCAGCGCAGCTGGGTTGTTTCTCTGAAGGCTACTCTGTCCTCACTACCGGACTACCTGAGCAGCAGGTGTCAGTGGGAATTTATTGACCAGTTAGGGAGGAACTGCCATGAAAGCTCAAGGAAAACGTTGGTGACCCCCTGGGGGTTTTGGGACACGCCTTCACAATTGCTTCATAGCTCTAGGTGTTCTGTAGAGGAGTGGCAGACTGCTTTGGTTCCAGTCAAGTAAAAACAACCTGATTATTTTGCTCCTGAAACTTCTGGTAAAATTTGTGTCTTACTGTAACTTGTGTTTCTTTTTCTCACCGAATTGACTATTCTAAATCTCATTTAAAATGACCAAGTAATAATCCTTTTATTAAAATAACTGCAGACTGGACCGGGAATTTAGCTCAGCAGATCCACTGCCTGCTTTGCAAACGCAGGGTCCCAAGTTCGATCCCTGGTGCACACACACACACACACACAAATAACCAGACTTCAGTGTGTTTAGAAGGGTAGTATGTGTCTCAGAAATTCGTAAAACCCATCAAGGAGCAACCATCAGCCATGATGGTGACTCTGAAGGTTTTAAACAGTGAGCTACTGGGCCAGGGATATAGCTCAGTGGTTCCACCACCTGCCTCACAATGGCAAGGTCCTGAGTTCCATCCCTGATACCTAAAAAATAAAAAATAAACTGTGAGCCACTGCTTGGCTTGGTTTTTCTCGCAGAAGAGTACTTTCTTTTCAAGGCGCATTTGTCCTTGGGAGCTGGTGTGGTTGTTGGTGTCCTGGTCACCAGGCCTGTGGCTGGCCCGCCCCTGCTTACAGGATGCTCTTCTCCTCTCCTGTTGCAGATTCGCCGGAGGCGCCTGGCACGACTTGCTGGTGGACAGACCTCCCAACCCACCACCCCGCTCACCTCGCCCCAGAGGGAGAACCCTCCCGGGGCCCCGATCGCAGCGTCAGCCCCGGCCCCCTCCCAGAGTCTCGGCCTCAACGTCCATAACACGACCCCAGCTACCTCCCCGATAGGCACTGCAGGTAAGACAGCCCCTGCCCCGGACAGGAGTGTCGTTACTATCTATTCATTTTGATCAAGAGCTGTTAAAACTTTTTCTCTTCCCGACGTTTTATCTTTTCCTAAAGCAAGCTCTTGTTTGCCTCCTCTGAGGGCAAGATGATTAAGAGTGAACTGGGTTCTGCTGGCTTTATAAATTCAGCCGGTGCCCACCCCCTTTTCATTTAGTTTATTGGCACGTTGTAGGTGTACAGCACAGTTGCATTCATCGTTGGGATCTTGTGCCTTTACATGATGTATCTTGGATTTTACTTTTTTCCCATTCACCTGCCCTCCCTTCACCCCCTCCACTCCTCCATATTTATAAAGATTTTATTTCCATTTTTTTTCCTTTTCTCATATTTTTCCTTTCCCTACCCCTCCCACTTCCCCTACCCCTTTAAACCTTTTCTTCTTATGTCGCATTATCAGTTGTACAATTTGACCCTTATTTACACTTCTAGTTTTTTCACACCAGAGAAACTATTTGGTATTTACACATGTGTGTCCTACTTATTTCACTTAAGAGTGTGGCCTCAAGGTTCATCCATTTAGCTATAAGTATCTCTAGTTTCTTATTGTTTTTGGCTGAGTAGTACTCCACCCCTCCCCTTTTTAATGGTGCTGGAGCCTGAAACCAGGGCCTTGTCCAAGTTAAGCACAAGCTCTGCTCCGGAGCCGCAGCCCCAGGCCTTCAAATAAAATGACCTGAAAATGAGAGGTAGGAATAGTGGTCAGATGACAGCTCTCCAATCATGGATTTCTTTCTCTTCATGCTACATTGGCAGAGAATGTGTTTGAGAAGTTTTCAGGGTAGAAACCCATGTGGGGCTGGATGTGGACCTCAGGGGCAGGGCCCTTGCCCAGTATGTGTGAGGCTCTGGGTTTATCTCATGCGATGGTTTCTAATTCTCTCACTTCAGTAATGGCGTATTTCCTCAGAATAAATGAGCTCCTGGTTGATGTCAGGACTCTTAATTGTTGAGAAAGGAGGACCTTGCACTTAGGCAGGCGGCGGCACCACTGAGTAAATGCCTGGCCCTGAAAAACATTTTTTTATGTGAACTTTTTTATCAAACATTCTAATGATGACATTGTAATACTTATTATAATTACTGCTTTATGATTACTTGTTATGGAAAAGTAGATGTTAAGAGACCTGCATGGGTCATCAAATCTGATTGATATGTGACTGTTCATTCCATGGTTATTTTATTTGCTATGCTGTAGTCAGCTTTCAAAATAATCTTGATCTAGGGTTGTTTGTCAGGAGTATTTGCAGTTAGAAGTGGGGTGAGGTCATGAACACCTTTATTCCCAGCACTTGGGAGGCTGAGGCAGGAGGGTCTGCAAGAGTTCGAGGCCAGCCTGGACTGCGTAGTAAGACCTGTCTCAAACAAACAGGCAAACAAAGCATTTGAAGTTCTTTAGCTCATTAGGGGAAAAGCTCAACTAGAGTTCTGTTAACTGTAAAGGGGAAGTTCAGCCCTAAGCATCTGTCAGTAATGAGCCTTTGAAATGGTTCTTTTGTACATCTTTAAGACACTGAGACAGTCCCGTCATGAAGCCATGTGCTGATTTTCCTTTGTCCTTGGAAAGAGTACCAGCGCCTGTGATGTCTCACCAGGATCAGGCCATGTCTGCGCCTGCAGTGTAGAATTTGTCCAGAGAGCCGTTTCTGCAGTTGTCTTACTGGTTAAACCATGATTCTAGTTAAATCCCATTCGCCGCTTGGCCTCTGTCTCGCCCTGGAACAAAGCTAGAGGAGGACTCAGAACCAGGCCATCTTGTTTCGAGGTCATGACCAGCGGCTCGTGTGGGCCCTTCATGCTGGTCGACAGTCACAGCATACTTCCCGTCCACTTCCTAACTCTGCTAGTTAGGGTTAGAGCTGGTGCTTTTCCACCATATCTTCCAACAGCAGCACCTCATTCTCCACTCTCAGTCCCCCTATGTCACTGTGAGACAGACATGGGCAGGGGGATCCTACACAAGTCCGTTGCGGTCTCCACCTGCCTTCCGCCTTCCTGCACAATGCTCACCTCTTATTGCAGTCAGCTGTCGCTGGCCCTGGTCCCCGTCCTCTCAGCCACCCAGAGCCATGCTTCCCATGTCCTCTCTGGTTCAGATTCTCCATCTCAGGTGCCCCTCCCCCTCCCCCCAAACTCAGGACCTTGTGCTTGGGAGGCAGGAGCGGTGCCATTGAGCTAAATCGCTGCCCCCTGGTGGCTTTTGTCACAAGCTGGATCTGTGCAGCTGCTTCTGCCATGGTTGGGCCCCTGTCCCCTGCCAGCCTCCACCCTCTTCACAGTGAGTTGCTGTTCCTGGCCTCTCCTGTCCTTGTGCCCACTGCTGGACCTGCTGCAGGTGGGGGTGTGTGCTGTGCTGAGTCGCTGTCCTGTAGGACCTGTCACCTCGTTGGATGTGGCTCCTACCATCTCCTTGAAGCACTTTCCTTTTGCCTTGGATAGCACCCCACTCCCAGAGTCTTAGCCCATCTCTGCTATTCTCAGTTCTTCGGTGGCTCCTTTTCATTTCCCTGACTTCTCAGTGCTAGGATACCCAGGTTCAGAATTTTAAATCTTGTTCTCTTTATCTGTTTTTGTTCTCTTACTGATTTCACTTGCTTTCCTAGCTTTAATTGCTGCCCTGAATTTGATGATTCCTAAGTTCTCGAGCCCGGACCTGTCCTTCGTCCACAGACTCTAAGAAGTCATCTTTTTTTTTTTTTTTTGGTTTTTTGAAACAGAGTCTTACTATGTAGTTGAGATTGACCTGGAACTCACTATGTAGCCCAGACTGGTCTCCTCACAGCGATCCTCCTGCCTCAGCCTCCCAAGTGCTGGGATTACAGGCATGCACCACCACGCCCGGCCCAGAAGTCATCTATTTGACTTCTCTACTTGTGTGACTAATAAGCGTCTGACAGGCAGCCCACCCCAGCTGGATTTGGGTGTTTCTTTGCATCTCACCTTCTTCCAGGATTCCATCTCAGTGAATGATGAGCCATTGTTTACTAGTTGCTTAGGCCTAAAACATCTCTTCTCTCCATCCCGTGTAGTGATTTCTTGTGGGTGAACTGGCTCTGTAAAAGGCCAATGGTCAATAGGCATTTCTGGCTTTGTGTGTCCTGAGGTCACAACTGTTCATCTCTGCCCCATAGCACGAAAGTAGCCATTGACAGTGTGCACAGACAGGCGTCACAGTGAAGCCACTTACAGAATGGCTGGGCAGTTTGATGTGGCGTGTGGGCTTCACTTTGTCCATCCGCACATTAGAACTGCCTCCTTCCTCTTTTTTTTTCTTTTCTCAGTACTGGGGATTGAACTCAGGACCTTGCGCTTGTGAGGCGGGCTCAGCACCACTGAGCTGCATCCCTGGTGCTACCTCCTTTCTTGTCCTCACCTCTCCCATTCCCAGGCCCCAGGCCCGGCACCTCTTTCCTGGATAAGGGCTGGAGCCTCCTCACTGGTTTCTCCAAGCCACTCCAGCCTCAGGGCCCCTGCTAACACACGAGCACACACAAGCCCACCGTTGTCAAGAGCAACGCCTCATCCACGTGGTCACGAACAACAGAATGACAGGCACCCCTCTGAGCGCTGAGCTCTTGGCGGTGCCCCCTGTGCTCTGAGGTCCCCAGCGTTTCTCTGACATCATCGCCATTATTCGTGATCACAAACAAGTGGAGGTTGTTAGCAATGGTTTGGCAGATTGGAAAAACAATTTTCACAATTAAATAAACAAGTAAAAAGAAACCAAAACAAAACTGTCCACAAGGTAGGTTGCATCAGTTCCATGCTCAGAGCCTCTGTGGCTCCCTGCCTCCCCCAGAGTGAGCCAGAGGCCTCCCGCACACACGGCTGTTTGTGATCGTCCCTGGCGAGTGATCTCTGCTGCTCTCGTTTCTGTCCCCAGGGTGAAGCGTGCTGGCTCCCGTCCACCCTGAGTAGTCAGGCCTCCTGTTTCAGTACGCTTGCCTTTTCTGTGCCTACAGTGCTAACGCCCCAGATTAGAAGCCCATTGCTCTGTTACCTGTACCTTCTGCAGAACCTGGCACAGGATCAACCCAATCTTAGTAAGACGGGCTGAGTGAAGGAAGGAAGCACCAGAGGAAATGGCCCAGTCACACGGGCGCGGGTAGCTAGGGATGGCATGATCGCTGCGCGCCAGGTACAGATGCCGCGAGGAGGGTGGTGCGTGTGCTTGTGTTCTGCGCGGCAAGTGGACGGGTTTCCATCCACTGAGCCAGGAGAGGCAGAGCTGGCATTTCCCATCCAGGTGCAGCCAGGCCCTGCCCTGCCTAGCCTGCGGGATCAGAAAGACCAGGCTCGGTGGGGGCAGCTCAGTGCGAGTTGAGCCCTGCAACCATCCCTGCCACCAAAACAGGAAGAAGATACGTGCCTTCAGGATGCACTGGTTGTAGACAAAAGCTGCTTTCTTTTTCCCTTTCTTTGTGTGTTCTCTCTGTCTTTCAAGAGGTGCTTTCTGACAGACTCTTGTGGTAAGCAGTCACTCGTCCACTAAATTTTTGTTGTTGTTGTTTTTGTTTTTGATACCGGGGATCAAACTCAGGACCTTGCAACCTTCAGGCAGCAGAACCATTGAGCTAAATCCCTGGCTAGCAGTCACTCATCTAAAAGGCACTAACTTAAAGCCAGGACTGAGCAGCTGTCGGGGTCCTGCAAGCTTCTTTCCCCTCTGTGCTCCCAGAATTCTGCACTGCTGTTGGCTGCTTTATCTGCTCTCAAGGCTGCTGTACGTAACAAAGTGCCACCAACCTCGCATCTCCAAACAACCGAAGTCTGTTTTCTCACAGTTCTGTGGCTCCAAGTCTGAAGTGGAGGTGTTGGCAGGGTTACGTTTCCTGCGAAACTCCGTGGAGGAATCCTTGTGTCCTTTGCAGCTCCTGGTGGGTGCCAGCGTTTCTTGGCTCTCATCTTCACATGGTTGTCGTCTTGTGTGTGTCTGTATCCAAACTGCCCTC